ACACAGGTAGGGGAGGCAGCTTGGGCGTGTGGTTCTAGGAGGGGGTGTCGGCTACATTCAGTGTGGGAGGAAGGATGGGAGAGAGGCCGAAAGGCCGTTCAAGGCCTGGGCCCCTTGGGGCAACTACCACTCAGCTGTTACTATGCACGGGCACAGGTGGGGAGGGTTAGCCCCGTGTTACAGGTAGGAAATCTACAGGTAGGAAATCTACAGGTAGGAAATCAGGTCTCAGAGAAATTAGGTAACAGCTAGTAAGCGCCAAGCAGAAAGGGGGGGGGGGAGAGCTGCGGCTAAGGAAGAAGCCTCAGGCTCTGCTGCCAGAACATTCTGCTCAGGCCACTGCCCATCCCAGTGGCCTGCTTCCACCCTTGGCCTCTTGCTGTCCCAGTCCCCACCCCCGCTCCGTTCAGCCAGTCCCTGAGTCCCAGCCTACTGCCCCCACCCTCTAGATCATCATGGACTCCAGCATCTCAAAGCAGGCCCTGAGCGAGATTGAGACGCGCCACAGTGAGATCATCAAGCTGGAGAACAGCATCCGGGAGCTGCACGACATGTTCATGGACATGGCCATGCTTGTGGAGAGCCAGGTGAGTGCCCGCCGCCCCACCGTTCCTCCCCCAGCCCCCAGCAGCACCCAGGGCTGCACTAACCCTACCCTCTCTGCCCGCCACGCTGCCCTGCCCGGGAGGGACCAAGTCTTCAGGTAACTAACCATGTGCTGTTGAAACTGCCCTCAGGGTCCTGCCCACCTGAAGGATCCTCTGCATGGCTCTGCTTGGCCTTCCAAGACCCCAGGCCCTGCATGGCCCTACCCACCTTCACCCAGCCTTGTCCTGTCTTGTTCACCAGCTGTGTGTCATGTGGGCACTGTGGATGGGCACTTTCCTAGGAGCTGGAGGTATAGCCGTGACCAGGACAGCTGAGGGCCTGCTTCCTGAGAGCTAATGTCTGTTGGGCAAAAGGGCAGCATAAGTAAACGATGAATGGCATGTTTTCCAGTTGTGCCAGATATTAGAAGGAGGTGATGTGACAGAGCAGCGGTTCTCAAACTTCAAAGTGCTCCAGAGCCACCAGGAGGGCTTGTTATACGTTCCCCTCTTCTGGTCCCCGTTCCCAGACATTGGTAGGTGGGGTGGGGGTTCATAAATTTGCATGTCTCACAAGCTCAAGGGTGATGCCGACGCTACTAGTCCAAGGGCCACACGTGGAGTGACAGAGTCACTGCAGTGGCCACTTTGGACGGGGTGGTCAGGGAAGGCCTCTCTGAAGAGGCGGCATTTGAGCTCTGAAGACTTCCCAGGGGAAGAGTGAAGCAGGTGGCCCAGGCAGAGGGAGCAGCAGCACCACAGTCCTGAGACCAGCAAGAGCCTCACTTATGTGAGGAGCAGAAAGGAGGTCCGGGCAGCCTAGAGCACGGGGAGAGCTGGAGATGACAGAGGTGGAGTCTTGGCAGGTGGTGCTGGGCTGCTGGAGTCTCTTCTAGATTGGAGGGTCTTAAGTGGGGGAGTGGCATGGCCCGAGTTAGGAAGCAGGGAGGCCTTGAGGAGGCTGCTGCTTCCACTGGGGCGAGAGACCATGGTGCTGTGGACGCCAGTGGGAGCAGTGGGCTTGGAGAGAGCGGCCAGCCCTCAACACGCTGCTGCTGGGAGTCCTGGGCATTGTCATGGTGAAGTGGCCTCTGGGGGCTGCCTGGGACCAGACTGCAGGGCCCACGAGGCCTGTGGGACTGGGCAGGGGTATCTTAAAGGTTGAAGACCAAAGCCTGTCAGGGCTGGACGGAACCATCGTGCCTGGGGAGGATGGAGTGGGGGGCTCACCGTCGACACTCTGGCCAGACTCCAGCCCACCCACTCCTGCCCCTGCCTTCCTCTGCCCGGTGCTGTCCTCTGCCCAGCCCCAGGGTCAGGGCCCCTTCTGAGCGTCCTCTGCATGGTCCCCGCCCCCTTGGCTGAGGCTGCATGGCCAGTTCCCACCCCCAGGACGGCTGCATTTCAGGGAGCTGCACGGGGTGCCTGGCAGAGGCAAAGGGCACGGGTGAGCTCTGCCCCATCCCCCTCACACTCCCCTTTTCTCTAACCTCAGGCTGCTTTCCCGAAATCCTGCCCTGGGCCCCCTCGTAACCCTGAGGGGGGCCCTCTGGAGCTCGGGTGCCCCTGGCCCTGCAGGGAGAGATGATTGACAGGATTGAGTACAACGTGGAACATTCGGTGGACTACGTGGAGAGGGCTGTGTCTGACACCAAGAAGGCCGTCAAGTACCAGAGCAAGGCTCGCCGGGTCAGTAGCCCCAACCCTGCCCGAGTCCACGTCCTCACGCACGCACAGAGCCCCAGGACCATCACAACCCCTCCGCGCTCTGCCTGCACCCTCCCTCAGCTCTGACCAGAGCCTCCGGTGCCCAGTTAAAACCCCACCCAGACACGTTCCAGGCCCTCACTTTCTCCCTCATTCAATCCCCCAGACTCTCCAACCCTCATCCCTCACCAGAGCCCCTCCCCAGCCACCCTACAGCCTCAAAGCTCTACCCAAAGGCTCAGCCTCCCTCCCGGCCCCACTTCCACGCTGAGGCCTCTCCTCGCCTCCCTGTGCAGAAGAAGATCATGATCGTCATCTGCTGTGTGGTCCTGGGCATCGTCATCGCCTCCACCTTCGGAGGCATCTTCGGGTAGAGACCACTCCACCGCCACTGCGCTCTGGACGGCCCACCCCGGGAGGCCGCCTGGCTGCTGCCACCTTGCGGCTCGGGCCCTCTGCTCCCCACCCCATACCGCTTTCTCTGCACAGGGCCCCCGTTCCCACCTTGCCCTGAGCCGTCGTGTGCATGATCCTTGTGACAGTGTGCATCTGTACAGAGGAGGCAGAGGGGAGCCAGGCTGGGAAACAGCCAGCCCGGTGGGGATGGGCCGGCAAGGGACAGACTCAGGTCCTGGCCCAGGCCGCTCCCCTTATAGACAGGGCTGCCTGGGGTAGTCAGCTATGCTCCCCTCCCCCGGCCTTCAGTAATTCTACTCCAGCCTGAGGTCTGCCCTCTCCTGGGATCAAGGCTCTCTGGACCCCAACCTTGCCTCCTACTGACCAGCCCATCTGCCCCATCCTGTGTCCTCTCCAGCTGTCCCCATAAGCCAAGCCCCCTGAGGGCTGGGGACCAGCTGGCCACATGGTGCTGCTTTTCAGGTTCGGGGAAGGGTGGCCCTGAGAGACAGCCCAGCTCTAAGCCTCTAACAGCCAACTCACTGCCAGGGAGGCTCAGGGTGCTGTGGCCGGGTAAGGCTTCTAGCTTCTGGCCGTGTCAAGACCAGGCTTCCTCCCCTGCCTCGGGGCAGAGTCCAACAGGTCTTCAGCTGCCTCAGCCTCCCTTCCCACATTCCTACAGCCCCAGGAGCAACCCCTTTGGGCTACGCCTGACCCCAGGTAATATTCTGGAAGAGGCTGACTGGTGCCTGGTCTCCAGCCACCCTCGGAGCTAGGGAGGCAGAGCAGGCCCCAGTCAGGCCTCTGCACTGGTAAAGCCCACGGCCCGGGCCAGCTACTCTCCCTGGCGGGCCCTAGTCGAGTCCTCAAGCCATTGTGTGTTGCATGTTTGGGACAGTGGTCCCTGCTCTCTTGTGCTCGGGAAGTCAGCGTCCCTTCAGGCGCCCGCAATCTCATCCTGCCCTTGCTGCCCCCCACTGACGTGCCACGTGGGTGTCAGGTGTCTGGGATGCAGTATTCAGCAGCCAGCCAGGGAGGGGCACCTCCCTCCTCCCCAGTGTCTCGGGACTTCTCAAGTCTGAGATGTGCCCCCACCTAAAACCCCTGTCGCCTGTTGACAGGCAAGGAGCATGCATGCGAGCGCATGCAGCAGGGGCCGGGGCCAGGTCTGAGCCCCGCCTTCCCTCGGCTTTGCTCCTGCCCAGTGACTGTGACCGCTGTCCGTGTTGCCTTCTTGAACAGCGACTCCCCTCCCCCTCCTCCACCCCTTCACCAAAGGTCTTGGTACAACCAGCTGCCCATTTTGTGAAATTTTTATGTAGAATAAACATTTGTACCTGTACCATGCCTCTGCTCTAGATTTCTTAGTGTCACGGCCTTAGGACTGGGGCTGATCATACATGGCACCACGGGGCTCAGAGACCAAGGATCCCACCTGCCTCCCTTGGCCTTCCCCTTCCAGACCCTCTGGCCCCCCCCACCCCAGCCTGAACATCTCTCCGCTCCTGCTTAACACCTGACGCCTATTCTGTACTGTGGGCCCAGATCGACCCCCTCTTCCCACTTTTCCTGGAGTCACAAGCCACCACTGGATCCCCTCTCATCACCCTGCTAGACAGTCCCCCCCCCCCGGGGGCCGAACCTGTCCTTCTGACCACTAGTGATTGGAGAGAAGACAGGCCCCAGAGGCAACCAAGTGCTGGACAGCTGATGCGGTGGCTCAGGGTTAAAGTCAGCCCAGGCCGCTGGGCTGGATAGTGCCTTCAGACCAAAGGGAAACCAGAGACTGGGCAGAGGCCTCAGGCCAATGGGTACCACGGATACCTTTCATTTCATCCTGCCCATGCTTCCCAACTTTGCCTGGTGTTGTAATACATAATATAGTCTCATCTAAGTCACATATAAGCAGCACTAAATTAATCTACCTTGTTCCTTGCAGGTTAAAAGAATGCTTTCATACATTAAGTTCTTTAAACCCTAACTGATAACCTGGGAATCAAGCCCCCACCAATAGAGGAACTTCAGAAATCTGTTTAGGATCACAAAGCTGGAAAATGCCAGAGCCAGAGTTCCACAGAAAGTGGTTTACTGCTTTTAGAACAAAACAAGATGCTCTCAGAACTTTTTTTAGTGAAGAAAATACTTTTAGAACTTTAAACCTTTTTAGAACTTTTCTAAAACACTATTTTTGTCAGCTGATAAAGTAGGCACTTTAATATAGAAAACCCTCCAGAAGCAAGTGCCTGGGCTGGATGGCACAGCTCACAACTGTGTGGTTCCTGAGCTGTCCCACTGGACGTGGCCGCCTGCTCAGAAGCGGGGCTTGCGCTTGCGGCCGGTGTACTGAGTGTCAGGTCGGACCTCCCTGTGCGAAGAAGTAACAGGGACGGGAAGAACAGAACTATCTCAGGAAAAAAAACAAGGTCCCCTGGGACCCCCGAGGCAGGTGAGCCCCCGGGCCCTGGGTGGCCAGACCCCACCCCACCCCCTCGCCCCCTGCACTCACTCGCCCTGCCGCCGGCGGCGCGCCTTCTTCTCCAGCACCCACTTTCGGCTCTTCCTCACCACGCCCCGCCTCGCCATCCTGTACGGGACCCTGTGCAGGAGACACGGCTGTGAGCAGGTGGACAGAGTGGCCTGGCTGGCACCCAGGTTAATCCCAGCAGGTAAGTGTGGTGAGCTTCCCCCGAGTCAGGTGTCCTCAGATGCCCCTTCCACAACAGAAGTCACCATTCTGGACACCCCCTTCCTGGTGACATCTGCTGGGGCCAGAGCGGTTGTTTAGGAGGAGGCAGGAGACGTGGGGTCCCCCCCTCGCTCGCAGGCATCCACGCGGTTGACCACGTGGTTAGGCATACATACATACCTGCCTGTGGGGCAGGCAGGGGCCAAGCTACTTTTGGGGCTCACAAGAGCCGATCCAAGGAAAGCAGGCCCTGGTCTGGCTGTGAGGCCAGCACGCTTGGTACACACCAAGTTGGGGCTCCCAGCAACTACAGGTGTCTGAGGTAGGAAAACAAGGCTGCCCCACTCGTGGCAGCCCTGACAATGATCCTCAAGGGGTGATCTTGGCCTCCAGTCCTGGCTGAGGAGAAAAGGGACCTCCCACAGCTCTATGGGAGAGAGGCCCTGAGAAGAGGGGAGCCTGAGCCCTCAAACCACATCCCCACCTGGCAGTTGGAATCCAACTGTTTTCAGCGTCGAACACACCACGGAGGCTGCTTGCCCTCTGAGTAACCATTCCCTGAGTACCTGCGTGCACGGCCCGTGGATATTCTACAGTGGCTATGAACCAGCCCTGCCCCTGAAGAGTCCACGGCTGGGCTGTGGTAGCGACCACCCGCACGAGGCAAAGCAAGTGCAGGGAGGCCAGGAGCTGCTAAGGCAGTGACGGGGAAAAGGAGAGGGCCACAGAGATAAGCTGCTTCATGCAGAAGGTGGGCCAGTGTTCCAGACAAGAAGCAATACATGAAAATGAGGCACAGGGAAAGGACTGAAGAGGAAGCTTAGGGAGCAGAAGAGCCCTGTTCCTGGAGTCATTGAGTATAAGAAGGGGAAGGGTCCAAGTGAGACTCAGGATCATCTGAGGATTGAGTCATCCTCGTAAGTTTCCTCCTCACCCGAGGACCAGTGGAAGCCGGACTGTGTGACACACCCTTCCGGCTGCTACTTCTCATCTGTTCTAACCTAATAGTAAAAGTCAGATTAAAAAAAAAACACCAACTCAGAATCCCACCTGGCTGGTCCAGTTCATGGTGGTGTGAACACCAACCAGCAAGGAGCGTGCTCTCCCTCCAGGAAGCAGCGAGGCTTTCTACCACAGGAGGAACACGACATGTCCTAGACTCTGGGGTGTGCAGAGATAGCAGTTCACGAAAGAAAGTTAAGAGAGCCTACAATGAGGCGGCAGGAGTCTGATGTGGCAGGTGCAAAGCAGGCTGCTGGAGATGCAGGACTAAACACATGCAGGACTAATCCCCAGGAGTCTCTAAGGAAGGACGAGCTCTGGGGTAGCACAGTGAACAGGGGGCAAGATGTGAGCTGCGGGAGGGACGATGGGAAAGAGTCATCAGGGGAGACAAAGGGAGCAGTGAAGATGGTGAGCGACCCCGACCACAGGTGCCAAGAGGGAAGCGGAGTCCACAGTGCAAATGCTGGAGGGGACGGAGCCTTTGGAGAGAGCAGCTGACGAGTGGTAGGGCAGAGGCTGGGTGATGAGGATTAAGGAATACATAGGTCAAGCAAAGTTGTTGGGGGGCGGGGGGAAGAAATTAGAGATAAGTCAGGTAAAGGTTTAAAATACTTTTCCTTGATTTACCTATTTATTTACAGTAAGCAGCCTGAATGTGATCAGACAGAAGTGACACAACTGGGAGAAGCCCGATCAGCCTTACAGTAGACAAAGGCCTCCTCCCACCCTCCTCAAATCCAAAGACTTCAAGAGGAAGAGGCTGGAGGGACATGAGGTCCGCGCCAGGCACTGTGCTGAGTCCTGTACAGACATGCCCTCGACTCAACTCACTGCCCGAGAGGGTGGCACATCCCCCCCAATTTTAAACAGACGAGAAATGGATGATCAGGTCCCACAACTTACCTAAGTTTACAGTTAGGACATGTCGTCTGTAGACACCGGCGTGAGGACAAGAGGGAGCCTAAGATGGATGGAGGGGAAGCAGGAGACGGGACCACTCCCTGAGAGCAAGCGATGGGCACCTTAGAGCAGAAACAGCTAGGAGAGCCCCCAAGTCCCCACGGGGAGTGGGCTGAGGAAGCTAAGGGAGATGACCACGGAGGGCCAGTGGGTCAGAGGGCATCAATCCATGGTGGACAGGAGGACCGCACTCATGATTTTCACCACAGGTGGGCCTTCCATTCTCGGCTCATTTTTCCTCTTAAACGTCTTAAGAGTCTGAAAACCTTTCACCCCTACTAATCAGAACTAAGAAATCACCTCCTTCTTCACTACCATATAATCAATTGTTCTTTCAACAAATAGTGAACACCTTTTGCTAACAAGACACTATTCTGGTTTCAGGGATACAGTGCAAGTCCCCACCAAGTTTTCATTCTAGTTGGGGACAGAAGTAATACCAAGTAAACGAATACTTATGGTTTAGAGCAGTGAAAGGTGGTAGGGAAAATAAAGGTAACAAGAACTCAACTGAAGATACTGAATAGAGAAATGGCAAGATATGATTTACATTTTAAAAAAGTAAAAGAAAAAGGGAAGTCTCCGTCTTGCTGCACAGCAAATGAATTCAAAGAGGCGAAGTCAGAAGTAAGGAGACAAGTGAGGTAGCTTTCAGTAATCTAGGCAGCAAAGACAGAGACCAGGTAGGAGTGGGGAAAAGGGATGGAGTGACTAGATGTAAAATGTAAGGAAAACAGGAAGGGCTGAGAATGGAAAGAATGGAGGGAGGAAGTTCGGGGATGAAGACCAAGAGCTCTGTTTTGTTCCAGAGACCCGTGGGAAGTCCAGGTATGGATATTTAGGAGGGGAGGTGGTTTGGAAAGCAGAGGTGGGATTGAGACCAAGCATAGAAACCTGGAGGTTCTGAACCTGTAGCTGGTGTCTAAGGCAGCAGGAGAAGACAGGAGAAATCGAGCAGGATGTTTGTGTGCTGATGGGGATGACTCAGGAGGGTAAACATGAGGATGCGGGAGAGGAATGGGAGCCACAGGGGCCAACTGGGGATGGGGTCCGGGATGTAGGTGAAGGAGGCAGCCTTGGGAGGAGGGGACAGCCTGCTGGGTATGGCAAGAGGGCAGGCAGAGAGGAAGGCTGCCCACAGACATCCGGAAGGGCTCCGCTAGCTCAGCCGGAGACAGCTGCAGGCACAGGTCTGAAGGGTTCCCAGGTCCTATTTCCGCCTTGCTGTCTCTGCCACACCGGACCCTGACAGACTTTGTGAAAGCAGAGAGAAATGGAGGAGTCTTGCTGCTGTGTCTAATGAACCTAGTGGCAGCAACTGCCTGCACCTTAGGCAGGGCTGAACAACAGCCTTACCTCTCAACCGTGAACGTGGACCCCCTGGCCTCCTCTTCCTCATTATCTTCATTCTGGGCCTGCAGGAACCAAAGTGCTCTCAGATCACCCTGGAGATCTCTCAACCCACCCGCCCCGCCCCAGAAGGCCTGGCACCCAGGCCTGAGCCCTTCTAACAGGTAGACGGCCCGGCCCCAGAAGAAGGGAAGCCAGAAAAGATGGGCCTACAAACTCACGGTCCCTCACCATTGGTGTAAAGGTCGAAGGTCCAGAAAACAAACAGAGGTAGAACCTGAAACAAGAAAGTGCAGAGTGAGGGCTGGGCTCAGAAAGCCTCACAGAGCAAGACAAGTCCTCCCCCTCCCTGCCACAAACAGATACAGACACAGCCAGGCCTCTTGCCTGCCGGGGGCCCCAGTGACCCAACTCAGCACTGCTCTGGTGCACGCATCAGCGGCCTGTGAGGGCCACACCGCCACCCTCTCTCCTGCAGCCAGGCAGCACCCTGGCCCCCGGCACTCACTTCTTGGCTCTGGCGCTGTTGGGATAGTCCACCAACACACCACCAGTGAAGCCGGCCCTGGTGGCCTGGGTCGTGATCAGCTCCAACTGGGGAGAGAAGAGCGCGCAGTCAGGCAGGGCGGCTGGGGGAGCAGCAGCTTCCCGCCCCCTCCCCTGGCCCCGTTCTGGTCCCAGAATGGACCTTGTCTGGGAGAAGTGAGGGTCTTGATCAGACTATTCCCAATTCTGAGTCCCTGAAAGCCATGCAGAGAAGGTGCAGCCTAGAACCAGCCACGGAAGATACCTCCCTCGGGGGATTACAGAACGACCAAGTCCCCGATTCTCACTTTCTAGCCCAGGGACCCACCTCCCCATTCAAATCTCAGGAGATGAATGGCCACCAACTGCGAGGCAGACTCATTCATGTTATTAGTCAGGGACAGCTTGCCACTTGTCCATCAGAGTCAGTACCTCCCACCCCTCACTGCTCATGCATCACACTCCACAGAACAGACAACTGTTGATGTATTCTCCCCCACCCCCAGTTATTTCTTCAGTTATGGAAATCAGTAATATCAGATGGTTTATCTGTCAAGAAAAGACAGACCCCCTAACCCCCCTCGCCCCAGGTACCCCTCCCTCTTCCTTAGGACATTAGGTCATAAAATGTGTCAGCAGGGGCCACGGGGACCACTCCCAGGAGCTCAGCCCCTCCCTTCCCACCAAGCAGCCTAAGGTTGCTTGTTCCGTCACCTCCCAACAGCAGGAGGGCAGGTGGGTGAGGAGCAGGATGTTTACCTATTCTGGGTCCCTCCCCCTTCCCTGCACCTCCACTAGCCAAGGGGTTCACCTGCTCTGAGTTCTCAGGGTACAGCTGCAGGACAGCCCGAGCTCCATGGACCTGCAACAGAAACATGGCTATCTTTCAAATATCCCATGGGGTCAGGACCCAGACACTCCTCCTGTCCTTATTCACAAGATATTTATTGAGTTCCCATTATATGCAAGGTATACTGTTCTCAGGGCTGGGAAACAGCCATGGACAAAAGAGACAGCCTCCGAACTTCCGCGGCTCACATTTTAGTGGGTGAGGTAGCTAATTTACAGTAGTGATTAAGTGCCAAAAAGAAAAATAACTTCGGACAAGGGATGGTGCATGACAGCAACTATCAACTTTACTTCTGGCTCAAGGAAGGCCTCTCTGAGGGACGCTGGAGCAGAGACCGGAATGTAGTAGATGGCTGGGCTATTTAAATGTCTGAGGGAAGAGCATTTCAGCAGAGAGAAACCCAAACACAAAGGCCCTCAGAACTTCAGGTTTAACCCCAGGACCTGAGAGGAAGAGAAACCATATAACGCACAAGACCCAGCTATCTGCCAGAACAACCCACTCTAAGAAAGCCAGGGGTGAGGTGAGGGGACTAAGGGGACCAAGAAACATCTGGATCCAAAAAAAAAAAAGTGAAAGAACTCACTTTTAGGACTTAGAATCGTAAACTATCATCTAATCCTAGTAAACAGTGGAAATCAACACCATCACTTCTAAAGACAAGATAGGGAATTCCCCGGCAGTCCAGTGCTTAGGACTCGGTGCTTTCATTGCAGGGGCCTGAAGCCGAGCAGTGTGGCCCAAATAAATAAATAAATAAACAAACGAACAAATAAATAAAAGACAAGAAAAAGCTAATAAAGGCTCTCTCAGTGGTAAATAACCACCCTGCTCCCCATCTGAGCACTGGCAGTAGGTGGAAGGCAAGGTGGGAGTTGGAGGATGTGAGCACTCTGGAAGGTGTCCTCTGTGTGGCCTCGAAATGCTGTCCCTGTCCTCCCTCTGTGGCGTCCAGGCCCCCAAGCCAACTTCTGACTGGTATTCAGCAGAGTGGACACAGGAGTTGTGATCAGTCTCAGATTCTGACATCAGTGTCTTCGCATTTCACTAGAGCGTCAGCCCCCTGAGCTATCCTTTTTTGGGGGCTGAAGACTTGGACCGAAGTAACTAACAATGAGGTCCTGCCATCCCATGTGGTCCCATCTGAATGGCATTCCCACGGGGCACCTCCACTTCATCATGCTATCTGCAGGGCAAGGGAGGGACACGCAGCCAGCCCAGGTGGGAAGGAGATCTCATACTCACCAGAACGGAGTAAAGAGCAGAAAAGAAGCAGTATAGGCGCTTGGCAGGAATGTCGGACTTCTTGTTAGCATTACAGAGCCACTGCACCGCAGAAATGCTGAAAGAGGAAGGGACCTAGTCAGCAAAGGGAGCGATACGCAAGGTTCGATCTCCAGGTGAAACCCTCCTGCCCACGACTCTTTGTTGGCACGTGCAGGTCCACTCCAGGTCACTATTCTACAACGCTGGACCAAATAGGGTCTACAGAAGGTGAATGTGAACTTCTTGTGGCCAGTCCAAGGAAACATTTCCTCAACCTTGCTTCCGCACACATCTCAAGTTTAGCACTACTCAGCAGGTCAAGGCTCTCCCTGCCACCTACCCCTTCATTCCCTCCCTCCAATCAAGAGAAATATGCTTTGGACTTACACAAAGCCATCTGCTCTCCTCCTAAATCACTTCCTTAACTGCACCTGATAACTGTCTCCACCATCCCCAGATTTAAAGCCTCAAGCAGCTAGTATGTCCGCCTTTCCGACATTCCCCTCCTCACTGCTGTGCACATACATGTACAGAACCCCAAACCCTGCTGGTGTGTCCGGCCGCCTCTCCCAGCTTTTACGTTCCTCCACTACTCTCCTTGGTCAGCACTCATTACTGCCTCCACTGCTTCGACAACCTAACTTATCTCTCCTCTCGCGTCTTCTCTCCTTTTAAATAATCCTCCTACAACACAGACCCGATCTCGTCACTCCCCAGCTCCCCATCAACTACTGAGTAAAACCCAAACTTCTCAGGATGGAGTTAAAAGCCTCTAGGAACTGACCCCACACAATCTCATCTTCTGTAGAATTTCTCATTCCTCTACATCTATGAGACTCCTTTCCCCACCCACTTCTGTGCCTTTGCTCACACTGTTCCTTCACTCTGAGACCCTCTCCTTGACTATCCAAATTCCTCCCAACCTCAGGGCCCAGCCCCGGCCCCTCCTGCTTTCCTGTGCTCTTACTTCTCTTCATAACTCTGGTGGGTCCCATGATTCCCTAGTACACACCCCACACTGGGGCACACGTTTAGTAACTTGGTCCACATCTTATAGCACCTAAAAAACCATGGAGTCTTAAAAACAGGGACCTTTATTTCCACAAACAGCACAGCACCTCGGACAATTTCTTGCAGGTAACAAATGTTGAAAAGAAAAAGCCTGCCATACCACCCTTCCTCTTAAAAACAAACTAAAAATGACTATTTACCCCTGAAATATACAAGACCAAATTGCTGGCCTTTGGTTTTCTGCAGCTTAGAACATCTCACCTGATCATTACTAAAAAGCAATTGCTATCTCTGAAATGTTTTTTCTCCCCTCCTGTTTTGTTACCACATGTAAGCTAATCCCATATCCTAAAAAACAACTTCAAATCCAGATTTGTACTCCTCACCCAGATTCCTACTGTGTATCGCTACAGCTCAATCTATTATCACAGGAGGTCTTCCCCCAGGTAATGATTAAACTATGACTTCCTACCCTAGCCCCTACCTCCACCCCACCAACAAAACACTAAACCAAATACTAAACAGAACTTACTACAGAAAACAAAGAACAACTTCACGTTTCTAACTGTAATTTCAGTGTTCTAAGATCTGTTATCAAAGTACTACGTACACATTCAAAACTTGAACCTGACGCCACAGAAAGGACTCCTAAGCCACCGAAGAGATTGGAGCAATTGGGGCCACTCTCCACTACAAAGTCCTTTGAAAAGAAGTCAACAAGATGGCTGCTGGGACCCACAAAGTGGCTTCTAGAGGCTCAGAAGACCCCCACACACACCCCACACACACATAGCAGAGAAACTTATACCATGGTGCCTGAATCTGGCAGTGCAAGATAATCACAGGAGTAGTTTTGAAATACAAAAAAATACATATTTGGGGGGCCTTGCTCTGACCTTATACATCTGAAAATCCTGGGGGATGTGTATTTTTAAGTATTCTGTGTGATTCTGCTGCACAGCCAGGTTTGGGAAGCACTGGCCTGCAGGACTAAAAGCAGGACCTGAAGACTCTCACCTGATACAACCATCAAAGGAGCCCGGTTTGAAGGGGATGCCCTGACCCATGTCCCCCAGAAGCAGGTCTCCCTCCGTGTCTCGGTCCAAGGCCGCATCTACATTGCAGAAGAGTAGGTGAGGAATCAATCTGCATCACTGTTCCATACTCATGCAGAGGAGTCCACTCCAGTGCTAAATAGGACATACTTACCCAGCATGGCAGGGCTGATGTCAATGCCCACCCAGTAGTGCCCCTCATCTGAGAGGTAATCTCCACTCAGCCCAGAACCACAGCTGGAAGACACAATCAAATTGGGACTCAACAGTGTGAGTAGCAAAGACATCCCACCACCTACCTGGACTATCTAAACTGAGCCCCAGGATCTCACCCAATATCCAACAGGTAACAAGGCTGACCCTCAGGCAGACAGAGGAGCTCCAACGCTCGCCCAGCCATCTTGGTTTGGACATCAATCATCCGTGAGCTATAAAAAGGCAGAAACACAAGCAAGTGGTAAAGGAGTTCTGGGCTAAAACCTCACCTAGACCAAGAAAAGCCAAAGAAAGAGAAAAAGGAACAATCATCCTGAGGTACTCTTTCCCGGTCAACAAACTGGACTACAACTATTTAAAAGTGACCCCAAAAGTCCATGTAATACAACGTGTTATTTTGTTCTGACACAAATTAAAACTGTAGTAGCTGCAGAGCTAATGTGAAGTTAACAAATCATTTATCTAATGACCAACCATTGGGTATTTTCAACTCTACCAGGCTTTGACATTGTATTACTTAAATACATGTCTTCTAGAAGAATTATCCACTGTAGCTACTCCCATATAGAAGGGTGAAGACACAATAAGAATTATAGCAGTGCTGTCCATGAGAAACATAACGCAAGCCACTGGGGACATTCTAGAAGCTACGTTTAAAAAGAAATTAAATATGTAAAGTCAGCTGTAGTAATAGTTAACCCAACATACTCAATATTACACTTTATTTAATCCAGTATACTCAAAACATCATTTCAATACATAACATAAAAAACAATAAAGCATTTTACGTTTTCTTCACATGAAGTGCATCAGATTAAAGATGTTTCAATAGACGGCTGATGACTACTGGTTACCATATTGAACAGAAGAGGTCTAGAGTGTATCTGGCTTTCCCAAGATCCAGGGAGAGTCACACGTACCAGTTTTCAAAATGCCTAACACAGGGCTCTGCAACTGGAAAAATGTTTCTATTTGCTACCTAATGACAACTGACCAAAGGGTTTTTGCTGACTCTGTCTGATACTCCAATTTGAACAAAAAAGAGAAAAGAGGTATCTGCAGAACTTTCTTACAGAATACTGTATCGGAAAAAAAGGTTTGGAAGTTCTTGCTCTAGCCGACATCTGTTAACTAACTTCATAATTATACAAAAAACTCTCCTCTATGAAATTCAGATACTCTACCAACAGCTGTCCTAAGGATTCACTGAGATAATGTAAACTGCGGCGTACAGTAAGCATTCCATGAATATTATTTCCTTCCCCCCCAACAGCACTGATCCCTTACACATCTCCACTGCGTCCTACCTGTTTTATCACATGCTTAAAATAAGCTGTCGTATGAGAGAAAGTAGGCGTGATCCCTCCCATTCTGATGCTAAGGTTACCGAGACCCATTCGAAAGTTTAAAATTGACTCTTCCAGTGTCAAAAATGGAATCAACTCAGGTCTCTTCCTTCCCCCCACCCGCAAATTCTGCGTGCTTTCCAAGCAACCTCCGCAACCAGGGCAACTTGCCGGTTCCCGACCCCCGACGCCTCGTAACATCCAGGCTCCACTTACTTGCGCACGTATTTCCGCGCTTCATTCTTGTCGTAAAACTGCAGGGACGAGAAAAAAAAAAAGGGTGGGGAGTCGAGGAAGAAATCAAGACGCGGAGGCCCCAGAAGAGGAGAGAGGGGTGTCCGCGGAACACAGGCCTCACCAGCTCCGGAGGCCCAATGTGCTCGGGTCTCTGCCCACGAGACGCCATCCCCACGCCTCAGCAACAAGACTCGCGCGACTTGCTCCGGGAGTCCGGCTTTTATATCCTCGGCCTGGCGCCCGCCTCGTAATACGCATGCTCCACCCATCTCCCCGCCTTCTCTTTTACTCGACTGGCTACAAGGGCCGACTGGATGCGAAAAACGCACGCCTCCCATTGGCCAGTTCATCTTGCACCGCCCGCCTGACTCATTCAAGATGGCCGCCCAGCGCGATGTGAGGTGGTCACGGCTGTTACTGTGGAGGTTGTGGCAGGCCCGGGGGGTTCCACAAAACTTGGGATTGGGCCAGGGCCTAGAAGCGAGAACTTATTCCCGGAGCGACGGCCCGTACTCGCGCATGGCGCTCTATGAGCTGCTCGGCGTCCCCTCCACGGCCACGCAGGCGCAGATCAAGGCGGCTTACTACCGGCAGAGCTTCCTTTACCACCCGGACCGCAACGCCGGGAGCGCCGAGGCTGCCGAGCGCTTCACGCGCATCTCCCAGGCCTACGTGGTGCTGGGCAGTACCATCCTGCGTCGCAAGTATGACCGCGGCCTGCTCAGCGACGAGGACCTGCGCGGCCCCGGGGTCCGGCCCTCCAAGACGCCCGCCGCCGACCCCGACTCGCCCCGCACCCAGCCGCCTGCCTCTCGGACCCAGGGCCGCGGTCAGGCCTCGTCGGGAGCCAACCGCACCATGTTCGACTTTGACGCCTTCTACCAGGCGCACTACGGCGAGCAGCTGGAGCGCGAGCGGCGCCTGAGGGCCCGGCAGGAGGCCCTTCGCAAGCAGCGGGAGGACCGGGCCAAGAAAGGCTTACGCTGGGACGAGACCCGAGACATGGCTTTATTCGTGGTTCTGCTCACAGTTTTCATCATCATGGGTTTTCGTTTTTAATCGGAGAGCGGAGGGAAGTGGAGCAGCCGCGCCACCGCCCCTCCACTCCCAAGAAAACGGCCTTTCCTGTCTTCTTGAACCCGTTGCCTCCATTGTCTACTGTTGTCTACCTCTACTGGGGTCCGAAGGAACTGCTCTCCCCTTTCCCTTCCCCACCCGGCCAGCTTAGCCATTGACCTGCATATCCCTACCCCTCTGGTCCAGAAAAGGAGGCTTTTTGATGCCCAAGAAAAAGGCTCCCAATGAGGAGTCCCGAAAGCCCGAGAGTGAGGGGTTTCCTGGAGGCCCTGGGGTGCCTGCTTCCAGATGTTGTCAATTTCTGGAACACTTGCTGTGGCTTTCCTGTAAAGCTCCGAGCAAGACTCGTCTGCTCCTGCCCCACGTGTGTAGCATGGGGCTCCTCTGTAACCTTGAAACGTGCAGTGTGACCAATTGTGACTGCCAAAAGAAAAATTCTGGGGTGATAAGAAACTTGTCTTTCTGTGAGTTCCCCAAGCCACAGGTGAGACCCAGTGTAGGGTAAGGATGTGATCTGTGGGAACCTGGCCATTCTTTGGTGGTCAGACCCCACTCCGCCTTCTGTTGTTGGTGAGTGTGAGTGGGAAAGAAAGCAAGGTCATGAGCATAAGGAATGAGCCTTCCTGTGCCCATGCTTATCTAATGTATGACCTCAAAGAGGTTACTCTGTGGGCGTGATGGCAGAGGAGCAAATCGTTTGCTCTCTTTCGGTTTGTCACACTTGATTATCCATGTTCTAATAGGCTCAGTGATTAAAGTATGATGCCAGGGTCTTCCCTGGTGGTTCAGTGGCTAAGACTCCATGCTTCCACTGCAGGGGGCACGGGTTCAATCCCTGGTTGGAGAACTAAGATCCCACATGCTGCAGCAGCAGGGGGGGGAAAAAAAAAAAAATATATATATATATATATATATATATATATATATATATATATATATATATATATATATATATATATAGTGCCAGTAGAGTCAGGTTTGTCCTTGGGACACTGTGCCCGGGACCTGGTCATCCCTTGACCAGCCAGCCCCATTGCTAACTGCAGCTCCTCCCTTCCCAAAAATAGAGCAACAAACTGGGAGTTTTGAGTCACCTGGGGGTGGCCCAGCCTCCTGTTTTGCTGGCAGTGCTTATCGCAGGTCCTACAAGCCAAGTCCTTGAAACGTGGCTACTTGAAGCTGTGGGAATTGGGGGGGGTTTGAGTAGACCAGACTGTTGAGTGACAGGAGGCACAGGATGGAAATGTACTTCCTTATTCAGAGCTGGCTTAGGGTTTTTTGGTTGTTGTTTGTTTCCTCTTTCAGTTCTCTTAACCGTGAATCACTGCATGTGGGGTGTGGCTTAGCTGTGAGATGGTAGATACTCAGGTATGTACTGTGGAGCATAAAGCTGTGGGATAGGAAAACCTTTGCAGGAGACCTTCTACAAAGGTAAGGACCTAAGTAGGTTCTAAACAAAGCCAGAGGTGCTTTGCTATATTAACACCAATTCCTGCACTCAATCTTTCGTGGCGGTCATTGGATAAATTGGGAGAAACCCATAGCTAGTGCAACTTGGTCTCTTGGGAACCATTCTGTTTTCTCTAGCCTTGGAGGTTGGGGGCAAACTCTTAGTCGTAGCTTTGCAGTGACCATATGATTCAGTAGTAAAGATTTAAGCCTACTCTGGTTCAGACATGCTGGGCTCATGGAGCCTTGGTTTGGGGGCAAGGGCATATGTACTTTAAAAAAGAACATTTAATGTTATTATGTTTCATATCTGGAAAACAAGAGAGAAAGTCTTTTCAAAACACAAACTGCAGGAAGTGAAGCTTAGTAAAAGGTACAGAGGCTGATGATTCTCAACCAAGGAGTTGGGGCATAACAGAGTGTCCTTGGGGCAAGATTCTATCAAAGTTTCGATCAAATGGGGTTGGGGTTCTTTTGGGTCTTGTTTGTAAAAGCACTAGTGGTCTGTGATAATCTGGGATCTTTCTCATGGGCTCTGACATAGATCTCTCAAGTTTGTTTTCTCTCAGTGAAGATCACAGTGAAGAACATTCCCTCGGGCCGCAGAACATGGAGGTAGACCCAGAAGGTTTGGAGTAGTGGGGTCCAGACTCTGTGAAACTTCTGGAACATTCCATGCAACTCCAAACAGGGTAGTCAATAAAATTTATTAATCATCCAACTCTAAGCTTCTCCTTAGGCCTAGAACTAGGACCACTCTATTCTATAGTGCTATCCTGCCTGCCTTTGGTTTTTTTAGGCCAACGCTAAACTCTGAGAAACCCCACTCCCTACCATCTCTGAAACTCAATCTGGGCTCTTCATGGGAGGGCAGATGTGTGGGAGGCTTTTTGAAGGACCCTCCCCAGCTGGTTCCTGTTAAATCATTTCTCCCTCTCTGGCCCCCCTGCAGTTGTCCTTTCTCAGCCTCTTAGCTGCCCTGGGGAGGAGAGCCTAAACCAGGCCATGGACATTAGCCCCTGCCTTCTAGGGGCTGCTTCCCAGTTCCTGATAGAGGAGGAAGGCTGAGACATGGTCAGCTTCAGTCCCTTTTCTCCCTTTGGTCACAAACTGAAACAAAACTATAAGTTTGGACCTAGGAAGAGAGACTTTGGACAAGAGGGGCCCAGCTTGCTCCATGCTGTGCTCATTGGGTAAGGCGCGAAGTAGAGTGCCAGGCTGAGTGAGCGGCACACACAGATCCTAAATGGGGCGACGTGGACAAGAGGATAGGAATCAAAGGTGTACATGTCTAGGCAATTGTGATATTGTGTTTGGGCTTGATCAGGACTTCATTTTATTCCTCCTGAGCCTAACTGTTTACCCCTCCATTGTCCTTTATTTATTGCTGGGTGAAAAGATCCTTTACACATCCCAGTGCTGAAGGAGTAAGATTTCTTGCTTCCTTCTGCGGTTCTGGCATTTCATTCGCTGAGTGCGCCTTGCCTTCTGTAATGGTCTCAGCATGAGCCAAGATGAATAAGAATAGCCTACCTTAGGCCAGTGAGTTGTCTGGTGGTCATTACTGACCATGTATATATATCTCCATCCATTATAGCCACAGCCTGAAGCTGAGACACCAAGGGTGGAGCCCAAGTGAGTGGCCACCACACCTGCTTATGGAAAATGGCGAGGAGTAAGGGTCTTGTCTCGGGCCTTTGGGCTTCCAGGAATGTCACCAGATCCCATGAAGGGAGGCTGAGAGAAGGGACAGCTGGTAAGTAGCGGTGTTACTTCACTCTCTGGAATTCAGTGTGCTCTCCTGGCCTTTGCCCTCTCAGTTCCTCAGCCCTGTGATGAGGTCACACACTGTCTCCTGCCTCTGAGCAGGACTGTAGAAGGCGCGCCTTGCCTGCCCTCAGCGGCTTGGCTCTCAGGCCAGGCTTGGAGCCCTGGGGGCCATTGGGTTTGTGCAAAGCAGCTGGGGTCCCTCTGTTAGTGTTTTAGGGTGATAGCAAGACCTGAGTCTGGACCTCATGAACTTGCATATGCTAGGGATTGCTAGGTGCTCTCATCCCCCAGAAGCAGAGAGCTCACCTTCACCATCTGTTGTAAGGTCTTGGTGTCACTATGGATCTAGCCATCTCGCCACTGTCCCTTAAGGCTATATACAAACCTGGGGCTCCGTCGCTAGTCTTGAGGTGGGTTGGCCCTCCCATCCTGCCTCTGCCCTGTCAGTATTCACATCCTCGGTCCTGGGAGGGGACTGCTGCTAGACAAAAGAAGGCCTGTTTCCAGAGGATGAAGAACTGACCGAGATTTCGTGGTTCACAGGCCACAGCTGACCTGCACACAGCGTTTGGCTGCAGCTAGCACAGTGTCTTAACTTTAGGCAATATTCAAAATTTGGAAGACTTTGCATAAAAGTCTAGATTTCTGACTCCTCTCAAAAAAGTGAGAAAATGTGCCACCATTGAGCTTCCTACCATACTTTCATGACCGCCTGGGAGAAGCTGTAAGGTCTGCCTTTCAGATTGGACCTTGCTCCCTGGTCCCCTGCATTCTTCACCAGCAGAGGGGATGTGTCAGAGGCCATGATGCACACACTTGCACCATTTTGCTCTTAGTAGAGAAATCTCTCTCTGTATCCCATGTCTATTAAGAGGAAAAACAAAAAAAGGAGGGGGGGGAATCATGCATTTCCAGGAAAATGGGGGAGGGTGTACTTTGTGGAAACAGAGCTGCTTTGCACTGTAACCTTCTGGCCCTACAGGCATTTGAATTTGCAGGTCCCTAGGTTGCCTCCTATGTTATTAAAAGAGCTCACACTTTATGCAGGGAGGCAGAGTGTAAGTCTTATTTTCATTGTGGGACAAGAAGAATCTTTTGAGAGGTGTACAGCAGTGGCAAGGTCCCAAACAAAGCCAGAGGTCCCTTGGTACAATAACACCAATTCCTGCACTCAATCTTTTGTGTAAAATCCTTGTATAAATTGGGATAAACCCTCAGCTAGTCCAACTTGGTCTCTTGGAAACCATCATATTCTCTCTAGCCTGGGAGGTCAGGGGCAAGTTCTTAGCCATGGCTTTGCAGTGACCACATGATTCAGTGGTAAAAGGTTGAGCTCAGTAAGCCTTGATTAGCAGGCACACACAAACGTACATTTAATGTTATTATGTTTCAAATTTGGAAAACAAGGTGGGAGGCTTAGGAAAATATGCAGAAGCTAGTGATTTCCAAACAAGGAGGTTCACATAGACTTTCTTGAGGGGGAGGAACACCTTGTTTTTATCAAAAAGGAGTGACAGTTTTGTTATTTGGGCAATTTTTTTTTTTTTTTGGCTGTGTTGGGTCTTCGTTGCTGTGTGTGGGCTTCTCTAGTTGCGGCGAGTGGGGGCTACTCTTCGTTGCAGTGTGCAGGCTTCTCAGTGCAGTGGCTTCTCGTTGCAGAACACAGGCTCTAGGCACGGGGGCTTCAGTAGTTGTGGTTCGCGGGCTCTAGAGCACAGGCTCAGCAGTTGTGGCACACGGGCTTTGTTGCTCCGCCACATGTGGGATCTTCCTGGACCAGGGCCCGAACCTGGGTCCCCTGCATTGGCAGGTGGATTCTTAACCACTGAGCCATGAGAGAAGCCCTTTGGGCAATTTTTTGGTTTTGGTTTGTAAAAGCACTGGTGGCCTGCGATAGGTAGGACCTTTCTCATGGGCCCCTTGAGGGTCTACCTCAAGTTTACTCTCTCTCACAGAGGATTATAGCCAGGAGCATTCCCTGCGACCCCAGACCTGGAAATAGAAAGTTCCAGAAGTGATCTGGCAGGAGAGCCCAGACTGCCTGGAACTTTCCAGAATATTCCATGTACCTTCAAGCAGAGGGGTTAATCAAGTTTATTAACCATCCAACTCTAAGCCTTTCCCATGGCCCAGAACTAGGCCCATTCCACTCTGGTGGTATCTATACCCACCTGCCTCAGGTCTTTGGTGTTTTTCATGCTGGAGCTGAATACAGAGGGCCTCACTCCCTGCGTGCTCTAAAACCGAGTCTGAGCTCTTGAGGAAGGTGAGGGGTGTGGAAGGCCTTTTGAAGGACCCCATCTGGTTCTCATGGTAATACTTTTCTCCCTTCCCAGTCCCTCCCTTGTCTGGGTCATTCCTTCCTCCTCTTCTTACCTGCCCTGGGGAGGGGAGGCTGAACCAGACTGTGGACATTAGCCTCTGCCTTGTAGAGGCTGCTCCCCAATTCACAATAGTGGAGGGAGGCTCAGGCATGACCACCATTAGCTCTTCTTCCTTTTGGTTACAAACGAAAAACTCCCTAGAAGCATGGACCAGAGTGGGAGGCCAGGCCGACAGGGGCCCGGCTTGCCCCAGGCTGTGTGGAGAACGTGGGAGGTCTTCTGGGGCTGTTCAGTCTTCTGTCATCTCAGGAAGGCACCTGGTGTCCTCCCCAGCGTCCCTTGTCTCCAGCACGTCAAGTGCTAGCAGTGAGAGCAGGAGAACCACGGCCACTGTGGGATGAAGCTTCTCCAGTGGGCACTGTCAGTGCTTTGCCCGTGCTGGGGGTGAATCCGACTGGACTTGGGCTTCTAAAAGCTCGGATGGGCCAGTCCCTCTAACTATTGCCTGTATTTCTTAAGAGCTCATCAGCAGTCACTCAGGTGCTGCTCACTCATCTTTAGGGATGGGGACCAGCCTACCAGCCGCAGCATCTGTGCATCAAGAGCCTCATACTGAGCCAAAATCTGGCTCCCAGTGGTTTCTACCCATTGGTCTTGACACTAACGTCTTGCTCTATGTGAAACAGTCCTTTAGAGACTCAGAGGCTAGCCATCACATAGTTGTATGTAAAACAGATCCCTCAACTGTTCCATAGGGGACTTAGCCCCAATCCTCTTTCTCATTATACTTCAAAGGTGCTGTTTTGGGGTTCCCTTAGAGTTTAAAACTTCAGTAAAAAGTAAAGCCAAACCAGCACTTGCCTCATTCTAGATGGTTGTGGCCCCACTAACATGGGCCAAGATGACGTCAGCTTCTCCAGCACTCTGACTGTCCTCTCTTACCTGCAGGACCTTCTGTGACTTCCTGCCAAACTTCATCTCATTAGACTTGACCTAAGCTGATCCAAGACGTATTCCCACTCTCTCATCTTCTTGTCCACAGTCATCAGCCAAGCTGGCCACCTAATGTTTACCCGAGCTGAAGACAGGTAGCTTCCGCCCTATAGAACCCTCTCCATCACTCAGTGGGGGTGGTCATTTGGCAGGCCAGAGAAGGAGCAGGTACCATCCTGATGGGGCTTACAGGCCACCCAGGAAAAGAAGGTGCATACAGGTGAGGCAGTTGGAGAACTGTGATGGAGCAGAGTGTGCTTCTGGCCAGAAGTGCTGGGAGTTTAAGAGTTAGGGAAGACTCCCATGGGTTGGTAATCAGAAAAGGCTTCATGGAAGAGGCAGAAGCAGTGCTGGACCTGAAGGACAGCCAGGCTTTGGATGGGCAGAGAGGAAAGGAGGGCATCTCAAGAGTAGGAAGCACAGGAGCTGAGATGTGGAGGCTGCAACAGCAGAGTGGCTGGATGAGGGAGCAGAGAGGAGTCAGGCAGCATCGTCATCCTCATCATCACATTTATTGACGGCCCCTGGGAGGCGGGGCTGGGGACAGAACATACAAAGACAAGGACCTGCCCTCAAAAAGTTTCCATTCTAAGGAGACGGGGACAGAAAAATACAGAATGGTCTTTCCGGGGGAGGGCCCACTCTCACCTGGTGCAGGTCAGAAGCCCCTGGCCTACCTTGCCCCAGGGTCTGGAGCATGAGTGGGGCCTGACCACCTGGCTCCTAGGTGGTGGACCCCAGAACTGGGGGAAAGGTAGGCTCAGGACATGATGGAAAACACTCCTGTCAGCCTTGGCATTGTGCAAGCCTAGTGGAGTGGCAGGGGGTGATAGGCCCCCTAGGCAGGGCCCTTGAAGGAAGTGGGCAACTTCCCAGGCCCCCATGAGTAAAGTTCTTTCACTGGGGCTGGCTCATCACCCGGGAGGCCCCAGCCGGGGAGAAAAAGGTGGAGTTTCCTCAGCGGCAGAGGCATAATACCCTGCCCACCCCACTCCCGGCCCTCTCTCTGGGCATCTTCCAGGTGACCCTCCTCCCCAGTTCAGCCTCCGGGGCCAGGGCCTGCCTAGGGCCAGGGGGAGGGGCCTGCCCCTCCCCCTACCCCGGCGGTGGGGGAGGAGAAGGAGCCACGTGTCAAGTTTGTCTGGGCCCCCCAGTGGGGAGCCATACCCTGGATCCTACCGGTGGGGGGGCTCTGGCTGCGAGGGCCGAGGGCTCAGCAGAGGGGCTGGGCCTAGAGGGCACCCGGGGGAGCCCTTCAGCGGGGGCACTGGGCGGGAGTCCAAGGGGGGCAGGCTCCGGGGCACTGCTGGTGGCCCCCGGGTGGCCCCAGTGGGCAGGACAGCAGCAGCGGGGAAGGATTTGGGGGGATCCGCAGCAGCAGTGGGGGCTGGCTGGCCAGACCGCTCCCGGCGCCGCAGCAGCTCCTGCAGCTTCTCCGCCTGGGTCCGCCTCAGGTGGGCCAGGGCACGGCCTCGTTGGAAGGCGGGCAGGAAAGCCTCCAGGCTCTGCTCCCCCAGCAGCAGCTGCTCCATCTGCTCCTGGGACAGGAGGGAAAGGACAGTTTGGGAGGAACATGACCAAAGACTGAGGGCTGGTCCTCTCTTCTCCCACCCTGAATCCCTCCCTATGGCGACCACCCACAGCTCGGACATGGGGCACCTGAGTTCCAGCCTGGGCCTGCCACTTGCTGAATGACTGAGGATGAACGTCCTCTACTCTCAAGCCTTGATTTCCTTACTATCACCAGACCTGCTGGGCCAGGGATGAGGCGGGATCAGAGATGGAGACACACTTTAAGTAGACAGGTGTCTCTCATCAGGGCCAGGGCCCTCCTCCTCCACCTCTTCAACTCACTGAGCACCGTGCTCCCAACCCAGCACTGAGACATCTGTCCCAGCTCCTCTGTAGACCCAGCCTAAGCTGCCCTGAGATGTTCACAGGAAGTTGGGGGAAAAGTTACAGGTGGGGACGGTGGGCCTTGTGTCCAGTGCGGACAGCAATGCAGCGGGCACTCCTGGGAGCCAAGCACTCAGGGCAGGCTTCCTGGAAGGGGGGCTCTCAAGCCTGCAATGTAAGAATTGAGGGGAGGGGGGTGATGATAGGATGGGGCCCCCCTCCCGGTCCCCAGGCCCAACTGCCCCTTTTCTCACCTCCGCCTCCTGCTCAGCTTCTTCCAGCTCAGCCTGCAGCCAGCCCAGCGCGCAGTGGGGGCTCCAGCGGTGCATGCTCTCCTCTGAGGGCCACAGAGGGACAGAGTGAATTAGCCCCTGCCCTCAGGGCCTGTCACCCAGGGCAGACAGACCAGAGCCCCAGGGCCCAGACCTGACTCTCACTGACCCTGTGTGTGATTCTACGCTTCCCCTCCCCTCTCTGGAGCCTCACTTTCCTCATCTGCACAACGCCCCGCCGGATCCATTTATGCTCCTCCCCCCAGTCCTAGTGCAAAAGAGGGAGCAGGGGCTTTGTCTCCTAGAGCACCCCAGGCCCTTGGGTTTTCGGCCCCATTTTGGCCTCTCGAACCCAGCTCTACGCATCGACTGCTCACCTTCCCAACTGGGTAATTTTCCAGCAGTAGCACCCCTCAAACTTGCCTGGGGAATAGGTCTGCCCAAGTCCCAACCTTCAGAGCCTGGCACTTCCCAAGGGCCACCCAGCCAGATGGCCAGCTGCCCCCCACCCCAGGCAGTTCTCCCGGCCGTCCCTCACCCAGTCGCTGCAGCTTGTCTGCACAGCTCTCGGCCACCTCCTGAAGCTCCTGGTACTTGATGGCCAGGGCAGCGCGGCCCATCTCCAGGCGGGGCCGCAGTGCCAGGTTCTCCTTGGCTAGAGCGTAGTTGGAGGCCAGGCATGCCTCGCGCTCCAGCTGCAGGCCCTGGAACTGCCGGCAGGGAAGAGCCCAGAGGCCCATTCAGGGAGTCTGCCCATGGCCACCTACTGCCACCGTGGGCGACAGTGCCCACGGGCCAAGGCGAAAGCACCCCAATCTAAGGATGGCGAGCCAACAGGTGGAGGAACGATAAGAGCCCAGACCCCGCTTTGCCTCAGTTTCCTCTTCCACAAAGTGAGCTAAAAACATCTACCTTATAGGGTTGTTGTGAGACTTAAGTGAGGAAAACTACGAAGGCCTCTACAAATGTTAGTTAATTTTTAATTTTCAATTAATATGTCTGCTCAGGTCCCCGAGGAGTCCCCCTCCCTCCTCTGTCCCATTTTCCATGCATGGGCAGCTTCCCTCTCATTCCAGGCCTTTGTCTGTTTCCTCCTCAGGTGTTTGTGCCGAAAACACTCCCACCCCCTGCTCTTACTCTCCAGTGATGTCTTCACCCTGTCCCTGCACAGCACCCCCTCAAACCCCCCTCTCTTCCCTCCCCCCCCCTCCTCTGCCCTCCAGTGGAATCCCCACACCCCAAGGAATACACACCCCCTTTTCCTCCCTGATCCCCTAGCACCTGCTCCCAGCTTTCCTTCTCTTGCAGAAAGCAGACCCCTTTCTTTCCTGGCCCTGGAGAACGCTATTTCCTTCTGTTACTAGGCGGGCCGAGCCTCCACTCCCTGCCCCTGGAGAACGCACTACCCTCCATCTGTCCCCTATAGGATGCACACGCCCCTCCTGCCTGCCTCCCTCCAATGTACACGTTCCCTTTCTGCCCCCCCGCAGACAACCAGCCCGGGCCTATCTCCTGTGAAATATACAACTTTCTCTTATGGTGGCCTATGGAATACACGCCTCAGCTTTCAGTACCCCTCCCCACCGGAAGACACAAAGCCCCCTCTTACACCCCCAGACCACGGAAGCCCTCCCAACGGCCCCCCAGGTGTCACACAGGCCCCTAGTTCTCCCCATTTAAGGCGCCTCCCCTTTCTGGCCCTACAGACGTGGGTGTGTGAGCCAGGGCCCCCACAAACAGCCGCCCCCCGCCCCCCGGAACACACCTCCCTGGAGCAGCCGCTGTAGGACACGCCTCGCGGACATCCCGGGGGTGCACGGGCGCTTCCCTGGGTCTCCGGCGCCCCACCCGCCCCAGGCCAGCTCAGGGCGCCCCCTCCCCCGGGGGCGGCTCCGCC